AGATGGAGTATTTCCATCAGGAACCCCTTTTAAAGATGGAGTGTTTCAATGGGGAACACCTTTTAAAGATGGAGTATTTCCATGAGGAACAGCTTTAAAGATGGAGTATTCTATCAGGGACCACCTTTAAAGATGGAGTATTTCCACTGGGGACTGCTTTTGACCCAGCATGTTTTTCGATTAAATGTTTAAAAAATAATAATGCCATATAATTTTGAAAGATGTGGTCATTACACTCAGTAATAGAGGATGTTAGGCTTTATGTCGATAATTCTGAAGATTTACCATCCTCAGAGTGAAGACATTTTTCTTCATCTCAGTCCGAGATCATTAACCCGTTACGCTGAGGCTATGCCCTCTTGGGGCCAGCACTGTCGTGGTTATAGCCACGGCCTGGACAACTCAGGGGTCTGGAGATGTGAGTTCGAGTCCCACCCATGGCATCTAGGAATTGTTTCAAATTTAATTAATTAATTAAGATCTCATTTGTATTAATTACCATGAAAGTGGCATTAATTATTGTTAAAAACCCGGAACAGAAACAGAAGTTGCTGGAAAAGCTCAGCAGGTCTGGAAGCATCTGTGAAGAAAGAAAATCAGAGTTAACGTTTCGGGGCCGGTGACCCTTCCTCAGAACCAAAACATTAACTCTGTTTTTTCCTTCACAGACGCTGCCAGACCTGCTGGGCTTTTCCAGCAACTTCTGTTCTTGTTTCTGATGCACAGCATCCGCAGTTCTTTCGGTTTTTATTGCTAAAAACCCATCTGGTTTGCTCATGCCCCTTTAGGGAAGGCAATCTGCCGTCCTTACCCCAGTCTGGGCCTACGCGTGACTCCAGACCCCATAGCGACTTTTAACTCCTGGCTGAAGCGGTTGAGGAAGACACTGGGTTGTGTTCAACGCAACAGAACATTGTGGATATAACTACAACAACACCCGTTTCCAGGGCAATAATTTGCTCACATCTCAATGTTGACAATTTAATAAGATTCTTCAGGCAGGACAGTGCTGTTTCTCAGTGTCTCTCTATCACAGGCAGTTACCTGAATCAGCCTGTTCGGGAGCTCTGATTGATATGTATCAGCCCCTTGCTGCCACTTGTCTTTTTCTGCGATAAGCTCCTCATCCATGCTTTTCGTTATCTGCGCCTATGAAACACAAGCCGCGTGAAACAATTAGAAGGATCTTTTGCCCGTGTTTGGGCCCGGTCGGGTGACAGACAGCAGGGCTGAGGAATCGGAACGCAATCCAGATTCTCCGAGCTCTCCCAGGTCGGGTGTGTGGGATAATCGTGCCCTACCTACAAATGAACCCCACTCTCTGCCTCCTCCTCCTCCTCACCCTCTCGTTCCTTTATCTCCAGAAGTAGTCTTACACCCAGCTGACGCTCTCTAATTCTCACAAATCTCCAATAAATTGGGAAGACCCTGCAGGTAACTCCAGAGTCAGATGCTCCACATTTAAGTCTCACTCCAGCACCTGACACCTAAGGGTTTGAATCCCAACATGGCAGATGGTATTCTGAATTCAATTTTTAAAATAATCCGGAATTAGGAGTCTAATGATGACCATGAATCTATTGTCGATTGTCAGGAAAAACCCACCTGGTTCACTAATGCCCTTTAGGGAAGGAGACTGGCATCTTTACCTGGTCTGGGCCTACATGTGACTCCAGGCCCACAGCAATGAGCTATTTTCCCTGTACCACCAGAGACTGAGGGGTGACTTATGTAGAGGTTTATAAAATGATGAGGGGCATGGACTGCCAAGGTCTTTTCCCCAGGGTAGGGGAGTCCAAAACCAGAGGGGCATAGGTTTAAGGTGAGAGGGGAAAGATTTAAAAGGGGCCGAAGGGGCAACTTTTTCACGCAGAGGGTGGTGCGTGTATGGAATGAGCTGCCAGAGGAAGTGGTGGAGGCTGGTACAATTACAACATTTAAAAGGCATCTGGATGGGTACATGAACAGGAAGGGTTTAGAGGGATATGGGCCAAATGCTGGGAAATGGGACTGGATTAATTCAGGATATCTGATTGGCATGGACGAGTTGGTCTGGAGGGTCTGTTTCTGCGCTGTACATCTCTATGACCCTTAAATGCCCTTTGCAGATGGGCAATAAATGCTGGCCTCATCCCGTGAGTGAATTTAAAAACAAAACCCTGAGTAAAGAAGGTTCTCCTCATCTCATTCCTGCCTCTGTCGCTGACAATCCTGACTCTGTAACCCCGGAGATGGGATACGTTTGAGCCCAATTTCCAGAAGGTTTCGCTGTTCTTGTTTCCCGAAATGTGGGGAAGACTGAGTTTTTTTGTTCTTACCTTCACCAGGGCAATGCATTTATCCTCCAGCTGCTGCATTGTTTCTGCTGGCAGCAATGGTTTAAGCTGTTGCTTTCTGACATGTGCAGCAAGTTCCTCATGGCCTATCACATCTCTGAAAAAATAAACACAAGGGGGAACGTGAAAGTCATGTCCAAGTGGCAGCTGTAGGCCAGTGCCTAACCCTTTCATGGATGCGGGTTCAATTCTGGCCAATCTCAGCTTCAAGTATAGTACTGAAGGGGTGTCAAACTCTGTAGTGACTGGGACAAGGGCCAGATGGATCCACTGACTGTGAGATCCCAGGTTGGGGCGGTTAACCTGGGCCAATCAGGGAGTCCTGGCTGACATATATGAACAGGAGTGTCAGGGAGTCTCCTCCCTCTAGGTCAGAGCCCAGGGACATGCAAATAAAGGGTGACTTGGTGACAGGATACCACCCCCCCATCCCGTGCTGTTACTTCGATTTCCTAAAAGGTTATTTTAAACCGAGGCCTGTCACGATGATTGTAAACCAGATATCTCTCAACCAATGGGACAAGACGTCAGTCCTGAGGAAGGGTTGCTGGACCTGAAATGTTAACTCTGCTTTCTCTCTCCACAGATGCTGCCAGACCTGCTGAGGGCACTTTGTATGGTACAATCTGCCTGAATGGCACTCACAACAACACTTGTCACTGTATCTCGGTACACGTGATCGCGATAAATCAAACTCAATTTCTGTTTCTGTTTCAGATTTTAGAATCCGCAGTTTTTTCATGTTTTTTTACCCCCCCACAGGACCCCATGATCTGACGATTCCCCCCCCCATGCTGTTTGTGGGAGCTTCATGTGCAGCCAATCAGCTGTCACCTTCCCTGGTTACGAAGTGGCTACGTCTCGGGAGTATGTTGTTTGGTTGGCGGGGGGGAGCGGAGAGGTTGTGAAAGGCGCTACGTAAATGAAAGGCTCCCTTTGCCAGCCACAAAAGCCACCTCAAAGAGGGTTCAGGTTCTATAGAAGCCAATGGTCATGTGGTACAACTGACCCCCACCCCCATTAAGGGCATGGGCACTGGACGTAAGAACACAAGGAATGGGAGTAGGAGTAGGCCCCATCTGGCCCCTTGAGCCTGCTCCGTCATTCTATAAGATCATGGCTGATCTTTCTCGTGAACTCAGCTCCAGTTATCTACCCGCTCACCACAACCCTCGTTCCTTTACTGTTCAAAAATCTATCTTTGCCTTAAAAGCATTCAACGAGGAAGCCTCAACTGGTTCCCTGGGCAGGGAATTCCACAGATTCACAACCCTTTGGGTGAAGAAGTTCCTCCTCAGCTCAGTCCTAAACCTGCTGCCCCTTACTTTGAGGCTATACCCCTTAGGTTCACCCACCAATGGAAGCAACCTGACTGCTTCTATTCCTTTGATAATTTTACATGTTTCTATAAGACGCCCCTCATTCTTTCAAATTCCAAAGAGTACAGCCCCAGTCTACACAATCACTCCTCATAAGCCAACCCTCTCAACTCTGGAATCAACCCAGTGAACCTCCTCTGCACCCCCTCCAGTGCCAGTACATCCTTTCTCAAGGAAGGTGACCAAAACTGTGGCTGGGCTGATCGACCACCCAGTGGAAGGCGGCATTCCCCAATCGGCCACTCACTGTTCCACATTTTTCATATCTTCTAACCAACCTGTTCAAAGGCATTGAACCCATGCTGTTGGCATCACCCACCAGTTATCATAGAATCCCTACAATGTGGAAACAGGCCCTTCGACCCAACAAGTCCACACTGACCCTCAGAGCATCCCACCCAGACCCATCCCCCTATAACCCAACTAACCTGCACATCCCTGAACACTATGGAGGTAATTTAGCACGGCCAATCCACCCTAACCTGCACACCTTTGGACTGTGGGAGGAAACCGGAGCACCCGGAGGAAACCCACGCAGACACGGGGAGAATGTGCAAACTCCACACAGGCAGTCGCCCGAGGGTGGGATCAAACCCGGGTCCCTGGTGCTGTGAGGCAGCAGTGCTAACCACTGAGCCATCATGCCACCCCTGAGTTACCTGGGATTTAGAAGAGTCGGAGGAGACCATATTGAAACACAAAGGATCCTAAGCGGTCTTTACCGAGAGAATCTGGAAAGAATGTCCCCCCCACCTGTGGAATCTAGAACTCCAGGGTTCATGGTTTAAAAATAAAGGATCATCCCCCTGCCTCAGAGATGAGGTGAATTTGTGTCCTGTCAGACGGTGATGTGTCTTTGGAACTCTCTTCCACAAAAGGTGGTGGAGGAGAGTGTCTGAAAATTTTTTAAGGTGGTGGTGGATCGATTCTAGTTTAGAAAGTGGGTGAGAGGTTGCTGGGGGAGGGGAGGACTTGAGTTGACGATGAGATCCGCCGTGATTTCATTGATTGGTGGAGCAGGTCCGAGGGGCTGAATGGCTTGCTCCTGGTCCTTGTTTTGGATGTTGCTCTAGAATGTTCAGCTCAGCCAAATCATGGCTGATCCTCCACCTCATACTCCCCACATTGCCTCAGTGCAGTCATTGCAACTGATGCCACCAACATCCCCCCCTCGCCCCCAAGGAGCGAGATGGCTAGTTTCCACCGTTATCCAATGATACTCCCCTTTATTACGACGATGGACGCCAACTGCCAATGGCCGCTCAGTTGGCATTCTTAGCAGGGCCAGGGACACTCTCACCTGATATAATCGTTGTGGCACCATTGGAGGAAGCTGTAGAGTTGCTGAATTTCTAGATCATTCTGGGCCATCTCGGCGAGGCAGGAAGAAACCACTTCGTGGTAGCTGTTAACGTAGACATTGAACGCATCGTAATCCTTCGGGTAGGCCGCAACTTGGTTCTTTCGGATGAAGATCAAGTCATTTGTGACCTGCTCTTTGAGGCTCCTCAGACGCTGGGCCATCAAGGCATCGGCCTGGCAACGGGACAATCTCTCAACCACCGAATCCCTCACCATTTTCCGCCACTTCCTCCGCAGCTGCCTGGGCCTGGGGCCATCGGTGCCCCCAGGGAGCCCTCCACAGCTGGCCCATGCCCTGTCCACCTTCTCCTCCTCCTCAATGGTCTGCACCAGCTGCTCCAGGTGCGTCGCCTCGAGGGTTTGGCTGAGGGACTCAGCCACGATCTTCTTCAGCTCCCCCTCCAGCTCCTTGTAGAGCAGTTCAATGTCCTTCGCCTTCCTGCCCCCGTCCTTACCCCCATCAGTGGTCCTCACCCTCTCGCACTCCTCCTCCAACTCCACGATATGGCTGTCGGCCAGCACCAGGTCCCTCTTCTCGATCAGTTTGTGGATCTCGAGCACTGTACGAGAGGAAATGGAAACATTAACGGCTTGGAACGCTCAACCCTTGACCACCATAATCCCAACTAGATTCCGTTCCAAGAAACCACAGAGTCTAAGGATACAGGGGTAGGACTGAGATGAAGAGAAATGTCTTCACCCGGGGAGTAGACAGCCTGTGGAATTCTTTGCCATAGAAAGCCAAAAATTGAATGTTTTAAAGGAGTTATTTTTTTACAATTCATTCATGGAATATGGGTATCGCTGGCTAGGCCCAGCATTTATTGCCTGTCCCTAGTTGTCCCTTGAGAAGGTGGGGGTGTGTAGTGGTTGTAACGAGGTCAGCCAGATTTGATTTGATTTACAACTGTCACATGTACCTAAGTACAGTTAAAAGTTTTGTTTTGCATGGAGATCACAACATATAAGGATCGTTGTGTAGGCGATCAGAGCGAGGGATTTTATTTTTCTTATTCATTCATAGGATAAGGGCATTGCTGGCCAAGCAGCATTTATTGTCCATCCCTAATTACCCAGAGGACAGTTGAGAGTCAACCACATTGCTATGGATCTGGAGTCACATGTAGGCCAGACCGGATAAGGATGGCAGATTTCCTCCTCTAAAGGACATTAGTGAACCAGATGGATTTTTCCAACAATTGACAAGGGGCTCATGGCCATCATTAGATCCTTAATTCCAGATTTTTTTCCTTTATTCATTCATGAGATGAGGGCATCGTTGGCCAGGGCAGCATTTATTGCCCATCCCTAATTGCCCAAAGGGCAGTTCACAGTCAACCACATTGTCTTGGGTCTGGAGTCACATGCAGGCCAGACTGGGTAAGGATGGCAGTTTCCTTCCCTAAAGGACATTAGTGAATCAATGGGTTTTTCAGACAAACAGCAATGGATTCATGGCCATCATTTGACTCTTAATTCCAGATATCTTACTGAATTCAAATTCCACCATCTGCCAAGGTGGGATTCGAACCCAGGTTCCCAGAACTTTATCTGGGTCTCTGGATTAACAGGCCAGCGATAATACCATCCAGCGAGGGAAATAAAGTTACGACTGCAGAGAAAAAAGCGAGATTGACATTAGACTTGAAATTTGAGAGGCCCATTCAGAAGTCCAATAACAGCAGGGAATGAACTGTTCTTGAACTTTGGATCTTGTAGAATATGAGTTCCCTGATTGGGGCTGTTAAGCTGGTCCAATCAAGGAGCCCTGGCTGACAGATATAAACAGGAGTGTCTCTCTGAGAGCTGGCTGCGGATGAGGCCTTACTAAAGTTAAGGACTGTCCATCTTGGTGATAAGATACCAGCCTCTGTGGAGTTATTTCAGGGGTGAGCTGCCTTCTTGAACCACTGCAGTCTCTGGGCTCTGGGTTGACCCAAAAAGGTGTTAGGGGAGGGAATTCCAGGATTTTGATCCAGCGACACTGAACAAACGGTGATATGAGAGATAGTTATTAGGGATAAAGAGATCAAAGTGTAGGGCAGGTGGTGGTGGGGTGGGGGGGGCGGGGGTAGAAAGTGGGAACAGGAGACCAAATTGGATGATTAGCCATGATCCTATTGAATCGGGGAGCAGGCTCGAAGGGTCAAGTGGCCTACTCCTGCTGCTGTTTACTATATTTCTGTATAATTCTCTGCTGTCCTACTTTGAGAAATGTACTCTTCCTGTTCCTCAGTTGACGCTGAGTGAGAGGTCACTGGGTCAATTCTCCCTTGCTCTTTGATATTTGCCCCAGTTGCACTGTTTGGAAGTGGCGCACCTGACATTGTCACCTCCGCTTCAGGCGAAGATGTTTCTTATGACTTAAACTGATAGCCCTGAGTTCCAGACAGCAGTAGCAGTGGGCTGTTCCCCCCACAGGCCTATGCCATCAATGTGAACCAGGCGGAGGGTTACCAGCGAAGGGGAAGTCCTACCTGAGAGAGGTTCCCTGACCTCAGGCACCGTCTCTGTCTTCCTCTCTGCCCCACCCCCGAGCTCCATTTTCTCTGTTGGCGACTCTGCCTTTGGCTTGCCCCATTTGAGGAAGGACATTACCCTCCTGGACGATGGGTCAGCCAGGCTGTCCTTCTCACTCCCGTCTCCGAGCTTCACTGGTGAGGCCAGCTCCTCCAATCGCAGGCGGCCTGCCTTCTTCTCCTGGCTCTTCCAAGGCGCCTCCGTATCGGAGAGAGGAGATGGGAGTCTGAAGAATGGCTTCTTCTCTTCACTCTGGTCCTCGGGGGGGGACCGGCCTTGCTTCTTGCTCATCTTGAAGGCCTTCTTTAACGACCTGGTCAAAGTGGTGTGCTTCTCACTGCCATTTATCTTGGGCATGGCTGCTTCACCTGATGGCAGGCTTGTGTTAAGCATCTGGATGCCCTCCGCTCCTTCCTCCTCCTCCTCGTGGAACGGGTTTAAGTTCTCTGCAAAGGGATTCATCTCATCGACGGTGTCTTCCTCGAAAGAGTTCATTCCAGCTGGCGTGCTCTTCCCCAGTATACTTTCCTCCTGAAGTCTCACAGGGCCCACCTGAGGTTTGGTGGGACTCAACCTGGATAAGGTGCTCTTCATGATTGGCATTGGATAGCTGGATGGGCACTCCCTGGGCAGAGAGAGACAGAGAAAAAGAGAAAGAAGCTTTCATTAACCTGTTTTTGCTGTCTTTCTTCACATTGAAGAAGTATTTAGATGTGCACTTACGATGCCAAGGCTATGGCCCAAGTGCTGGAAAATGGTATGAGAACAGTTTCTACAGTGTGGAAGCAGGCCATTCAGCCCATCGAGTCCACACTGATCCTCTGAAGGAGATCCCACCCAGACACACACCCCTACTCTATCCCTGTAACCCTGCACCTCCCATGGCCAATCCACCCAGCCTGCACACTATGGGCAATTTAGCATGGCCAATCCACCCTCACTTACATATCTTTGGACTGTGGGAGGAAACCCATACAGATGCAGGGAGAATATGCAAACTCCACACAGACCGTCCCCCAAGGGTAGAATTGAACCTAAGTCCCTGGCACTGTGAGGCAGCAGTGCTAACCACTGAGCCACACCTATCTGGCATGGACAAGAGGCTCTGTTACATATCTATGTACATATCTATGACTCTACGACCTAACCTGCATATCTTTGGACTGTGGGAGGAGTGTTTCTGACCGGTGCAGACTCGATGGGCCGAAGGGCCCTTTTTGTGTGCTGTAGATCTCTCTGACTCTAAGAGGGTACATTCAGAGCCCCAGACCCCTGAAGAACCCATGGTACTTTGGGACTTGTGGCTGTGTGAGAGATTTCACGCAATCTGGCACCAGGCGTAGGTCAGACTGGGAAGAAACTGCCTCGTGCTTGACAAGTCATATGGCTACGATCCAAGGCTATGCACCATAAAGGTCAAACAGTTACCACGCCTCCATCATTACAAGTTCTGACTAAGCCCCAGGGCTCAATCTTTTATTGAGTTATGAGCCTCATGTAACCAAATGATTTGGATGTGAACATAGGAAGCTTTGGTTAGTAAGTTTGCTGATGACACTAAAATTGGAGGTGTAGTGGACAGCGAAGAAGGTTACCTCAGAGTACAATGGGATCCTGATCAGATGGACCAATGGGTAGCAGATGGAGTTTAATTTAAATAAAGGTGAGGTGCTCCGTTTCGGAAAGGCAAGTCAGGGCAGGACTTATACACTTCACAGAAAGGTCCTGGGGAGTGTTGTTGAACAAAGAGACCTTGGAGTGCAGGTTCATAGCTCCTTGAAAGTGGAATCGCAGGTAGTCAGGCTAGTGAAGAAGGTGTTTGGAATGCTTTCCTTTATTGGTCAGTGTATTGAGTGTAAGAGTTGGGAGGGTCATGTTGCGGCTGTACAGGACATTGGTTAGTGCCACTTTTGGAATATTGCTTTCAATTCTGGTCTCCCTGCTGTAGGAAGGATGTTGTTAAACTTGAAAGGGTTCAGAAAAGATTTACAAGGATGTTGCCAGGGTTGGAGGGTTTGAGCTATAGGGAGAGACTGGATAGGCTGGGGCTATTTTCCCTGGAGCGTTGGAGGCTGAGGGGTGACCTTATAGAGGTTTATAAAATCATGAGGGGCATGGATAGGGTGAACAGCCAAGGTCTTTCCCCAGGTTTGGGGATTCTAAAACTAGAGGGCATAGATTTAAGATGAGGGGGGAAAGATTTAAAAGGGGCAACTTTTTCACACAGAGGGTGGTGCGTGTATGGAACGAGCTGCCAGAGGAAGTGGTGGAGGTTGGTACAATTACAACATTTAAAAGGCATCTGGATGGCTATATGAATGGGAAGGGTTTACAGGGATAGGGGCCAAATGCTGGCAAATGGGATGAGATTAATTTAGGATATCTGGACAGCATGGATGAGTTGGACCGAAGGGTCTGTTTCCATGCTGTGTATCTCTATGACTCTATGAGTGAACTGAAAGAAGACTTGCATTTTGACAGCACTTTATTTTAATCAGCACCAGTCTTCTCAAAGTACGGAAACAAAATATTTTCAGAAAGTGGGAAATGTGGCAGCCAATTTGCACAGACCAAAAACTGCAACGGGATAATGAGTAGATCGTTTGGTTTTGTGTGATTTATAAATATAGGACAGAACTGCCTGTTCTCCTTTGAAATAGCAGGCAGTTTAAAATCTCACCCAAGTGACAGAATCATAGAATCCCTACGGTGTGGAAACAGGCCCACCTCGACTCTCCGAAGGGCATGACAACAGCGCATCGCACCCTCACTGCTGCACCATGAAGGGGTCACAATCTCTGAGGCAGGATTTGGGACAGAACTCCTCAAACCAAGAGGTGCCAATGTACCGACTGAGCCACAGGCACCTTCCCCGATTGTTAACTGCTGAATAAGTAACATATATCTCTGTAAAAATACAGGTTTATACCTGCAAAAATGTTCAGAAACAAGCTCTTAAGGATGCAGAGTAGGGTATTTAGGACTGTGATGAAGAGAAATGTCTTTACCCAGAGAGTGGGGTGCCTGCGGAAGCAGGCCATTTGGCCCATCAAGTCCATACCCACCTTCCAAACAGCCAGACCCAATTCCCCCTACACTATCCCTGTAACCATGCATTTCCTATGGCTAACCCAGCTAACCTGCACACAATGGGCAATTTAGCATGGCCAACCCACCCTAACCTGCACATCTTTGGACTGTGGGAGGAAACCCACGCAGACACGGGGAGAATGTACAAACTCCACACAGACAATCACCCGAGGGTGGAATCAAACCCGGGCCCCTGGTGCTTTGAGGCAGCAGCGCTAACCACTGAGCCACTGTGCTGCCCAGAACTCTCTGCCACAGAAAGCAGTTGAGGCCAAAACATTGAATGCTTTCAAGAAGGAGTTAGATATAGTTCTTAGGGAATCAAAGGGTATGGGGTAGAAAGTGGGAACAGGGGACTGAGTTGGATGATCAGCCATGGTCATAATGAATGGCAGAGCAGGCATGAAGGGCCGAATGTCTTGCTCCTGCTCCTGGTTTCTATGCTCATTTCACCATCTGATCGAGTTGCAAAATTCTCCAAATCTACTGTATCAAAGATCTTTCAGTATTTTAAGGACTTCTATCAGGTCATTCCCCAGCCTTCATCATTCCCAGCCTGATCAGCCTCTCTGGATCAAACGTTATGCTGTGTGGGTCTGATAGCATTGTTGAAAAATCGCTTGTCTCTGCCCTGGTGTGTTCGTATTGTTTTAATGACGCAGGGACCACGAGTACCCAAGGTGTTGTCCAAACAAAGTACAAGCAGAGCAGAACTGTAGTCAGCTTTGCACACATCCAGAGATTTTATCAAAGAGTTGAAAGTCAATAGGGGTCTGAACGCAGTAAACAGGGACATGGAATGCCAATGGCAGAATTCCAAAACATAAGAAATAAGAGCAGGACTGGGTCACTCAGCTCATCAAGTCCATTCTGCCGTTTAACAGGATCATGGTGGTTCTGATTGTCTCCATCCCACCATGCCGTCCTCCCTGACCTTTCACCACCCCCTTCACTCATCAAGAACCCACCAGCCTAACATTGGTTCACTTAGCTGAGCTTCCTGGCATTGCCCCAGAATAGTTTCAGAATATAATGGTGTCAATTTAAGACTGAGACGAGGAGGAATTTCTTCTCTCAGAGTGTTGTGAGTCTTTGGAATTCCTTGCCACAGAGAGCTGTGGGGGCAGAGGCCTCATGTATATTTAAGGCTGGGATAGATAGATTCTCGATCAATCAGGGAATCAAGGGTTTTGGGGAAAAGGGGCAAGAAAGCGAATATGAGGAATGTCAGATCATCCATGATCCTATTGAATGGTGGAGCAGGCTGGAGGGGCTGAATGGCCTGCTCCTGTTCCTATTTCTTGTGACCTCACACCTCTACATTGGCATCACACTGAAGCAAAGCCCAGTTCATGGCCGTCAGCTCGGGAACCTCTACAATGTCCTGGCCTGACTTCGCAATGCTGTAAGCCAGTCATGTACTGTTCATATCACAGTATCTACCAGTGGAATTAGCAAGAGGTGGTCAGAGTGGGGGGGGGCTGGGTGGTTTATGGAGGAGAGGGAGGGAGGCAGGTTTGACACATGATCCTTTGATGGAGATGCTGTCTGATGTTGGCTGTGCCATTTAGCCTTAAATCACCGCCGATCCCAGCAAATGGCCAGTGCTGTGAGGTACCAGAGTCATAGAGTCTTACAGGCCCTTCGGCCCAACACGTCCATGTCGACCAGGTATCCCAAACTGAACTTGTTCCATTTGCCAGCATTTGGCCCATATCCCTCTAAACCCTTCCTATTCATGTACCACCCAGATGCCTTTTAAATGTTGTAATTGTACCAGCCTCCACCACATCCTCTGGCAGCTCATTCCATACATGCACCACCCTCTGCGTGAAAAAGTTGCCCCTCAGGTCCCGTTTAAATCTTTCCCCTCTGACCTTAAAACTGTGCAGTCTTGTTTCGGACTCCCCTACCCTGGGGAAAATATCCTGGCAATTCACCATATCTATGCCCGTTATGATTTTATAAACATCTATAAGGTCAGGCTCCGATGCTCCAGTGAAAAAAGTCCCAACCTATCCAGTCTCTCCTTATAACTTTAACCTTCCAGTCTCCCTAACATCTTTGTAAATCTTTCTTGCAACCTTTCCAGTTTAATAACAGCCTTCCTGTAGCAGAGCGACCAGAATTGTAAGCAGTACTAAAAATATGGCCTTACCGATGTCTTATATAGCTGTAACATGATGTCCCAACTACTGTACTCAATGAAAACCAAAAGAACTGCTGTAAATCAGAAACAGAAACAGAAATTGCTGAGAAATTGTGAACTCTGAGGAAGGGTTACTGGACCCGAAACGTTAATTCTGATTTCTCTCCACAGATGCTGCCAGACCTGCTGAGCTTTTCCAGCAACTTCTGTTTCTGTGCTCAATGCTCTGACCAATGAAGTGGAGACGTCACCTCTTGTATACATTGATAAAATCTTTAATTATTCGGGAAAACGACTTGAGAGGAATCTAGATTTTGCATTTTAATCCTTCCGAACTGATTAAAGATTCAACAAGACGGTTGCTATCTTTCTGGTTATAAATTCTG